TATACCCTGTCAATGACCGGTTGTCTTTTATGTACACCTTCATGCGCAGGGGAGGGCATGAATCTGCGGAAGGACGTGCTTCTACGCATGGTGAGCATCAGTAAACACTTCAAGCATCGCTGGACTCTCGTACTGCCGCCATTACGTTATGTGCCTCACTGGAATGAAAGCCCGCATATCTCACAGGTGCGCGTACCCCCCTGTGCGTAATTCAAGCATGCGCATATCACTTCTGAATCGATCCATTCGTCTCTCTGTATCCGTCCAACACACACCCTCTCTCTGTCTTGCAGTCACCCACGTACCTTGTGCGTCACCGAGTGACTGTTCGACTATCGCACTAGTACATGTATACATCGATCTTCGTGTGCACACTTGAATTCTGGCTTTTTTACCGAGGGTTCTGCTTGTTGGTTCGTGTTTGGAAGATCGAAGTATCTGAGAAACACGCGACTAGCCTCGCGGTGCCGCTTTGTGCGGTGTAGTAGAGCGAACGCGACGTGCTTGGAGGGGTAGGGCACACGGATATACTCGAGCACATGTTCTGCGTATTAGAGTGTGTTTGACAGGAGGGTTGGGATCGAGAGGACGGTTACAAGTGCACAATTCAATATATCTCGAACGCATACAATCAGAAGATGGAAACAGGGCAGTCGGGTAGGCGAGATAGAGCTCTATGAAAAGCGTTTGTTCTGCGTTGTGTGTCCCGCTATATCCAAATACAATGCGTGCGATGAGACCAGTTTAGCGTACACTCTCAGGCGAGCAGCGACGTGTCGTAGTCGAATTACGTATACTGTAGTTGTGGTACTGGCTTTAAACAGTACAGGGCTGTCACTCTAGCGTGCTTGGCGTTTCATATTCCATCCCCATCCCATCAGAGGACATACCCAATTACCACAGCTCGTATTCGGACCTAACTCGCGAATTACGAGTAAGGGCTTGAGCTAAGGTTGTAACCTGCAGTTGTGGCAAGGAGTGACTGCACGAATCCCTAAGAACACAACGTGTACGAAGCAATGTCAGAGAATGCTTGTACATAGCTATCATTTCCTTTTCATATCGCATGGGCATTGACCTTATATGGGCGTGTATGGCTACCTACACATTACCCCGACTAGGAACAACCCACATGCTGTCCACCCACACCTTACTTGTCATGGAGAACCCCATTGCAAGGAGTGGTGGTATAGACAGTATAGTGCACTTAGACCTTGGAGTGCAGCTACACCGTAGAGTGACGTTAAACTGATACTTTATCCCTGCACAATCTACGGCAGAGCCTCAGACCTACACGATTTTTCCCATTTCGCTTCATCTACACTCCACTCGGAATGCACAGGTGACGGAAGAGGGTGACCGTAAGAAAGACAATGACAGGCAGATAGTGCGCTTTGTGCGGTGGGAGGATTTGATCGACCTGTCACTCTTACAGAGGTTTGTGGATATCATAAGCTACGAGCAATTCTTGGAGGAGAACGGTCCCGATATATCGGTGGGCGTCAATATCCGTAAGTTGTGTGGTCTATCTAAGGTGTTGATCTGTACACAGCAGGCGAAGCGTACATGCGTAACCCTGTTTAGCCAAGCATTGTTCACTGTTCATAGGGATAGCGATGGCTTCATTTTTGTAGTACTTTTATATGACCAGTACCACTTTTTTGGTTTATCTCAAGTGATGGCACACAAAAGACAAGCGAAAATGCGTAGCCCTGTTTAGCCAAGCATTGTTCACTGTTCATAGGGATAGCGATGGGTTTGTTCATGCAGTACTTTCGTACGAGCATTGCCTGCGATTCCAGTTCACGCATGTAACGACCATACGAGAGTCAAATGAGTATATAATGACTTCTGAACGCTTGTCTGTCAGTGCCAATAGCGTTGGTACTGTACTCGGACTAGCCGATCAATGGTTACCGAAGCTTACCGCCACTGGCGATACACCCACATGTCTACCACAGACCAAATACCTTGAGTGGAATGGGGAAGAGGATCTGAAGTTATTGGCTTACGCATCCACTCACTCACTCACTCCCTCACTCTCACACTCACTCCCTCAATAACAAACGCTCTATGATCTTAACGCATTGGCTTACTCACTCGCTCACTCGCTCACTTGCTCACTCAATAGTAAACACTCCATGATCTAAACGTATTGGCTTACCCACTCACTCACTTACTCACTCAATAACAAACACTCC